ATACAAGTATTGGACAAGTATTTGGACAAGTTCAAAGTGATTTGCTTACTATTTAGCACACCTTAAAAACCCATTAATTGCGATAATTTGAAGTAGCTATATTATCTGCCGTTGGGCAAAAAATTCAATTAGTATCATTTATAATATACTAAAAACATAATATTTTAGAGTTTAGGGTTTTTTGCAATTACCTTGCTCAATTAATTATATATTTTAATTTGGTATCTCTCAACATAAAAAACCTTTTATGGTCTACAACTTTTATTTTAATCATTTTTCTTTAGAATGTAAAAAAACGTTTTACAAGCAAACATTTTTTTTTTGTATCTTAAGATTGTTAAAAAAAAAAACAAAGCATAATCAACTGTACATCTTAGAGTATAGATACATATTAGAGTATAGATATAGTACAATAGTATCTCTCATACTATTTAGAATTTAAATAACCGTAGATTTTTGAAAACTATTTACCGAGGTTCTGTGAAATACTTTCTTGTTGCATGGTTAAGTTAAATATTATTCTTTTATGTATATTATGTATATAAAAATGTAATATTAATTACATTTTTAATTAACTAATATTTATTGTTTATTGTACAAATTATCTAAAATGTGTATACACATTTTGTACAAAAAAACGTTTTTGAGAACGATTTCCGGAATGGAAATCAAAATGTCAAACACAAGTTAAGTAAAAATGTGATTCTTATCACAATTACAACCAATAATTGAGGCGTAATCCCATAAAAACATAATATTTACCTCAAACTATTCACCGATAGCTTGGATTAAACAGGTTGTAAATTGAAATTTATGTAAAATATTCCCCTACACAATTCTCTGGGAAAAATATCTACCTTAAATAAATATACCTAACATTTAGGCAAAGAAAAAACCAGTTAAGACCGCAACGTGTTAGCAGGTCGTTAGCACGTTGACCGAAAACGGATCGATATTTATGTACCTAGATATTATTTTAAGTATTAATACCGGCAACATCTATTGGCTTTAAAATGATAGCAAATACAGTGATTTTAAATGATCGATGTTAAAACGTAGGATTGATGTAAAAAATTAAATATATAAAAAAATCAGAATATTGAAAAACCGACAACGCTGCTAAGCCAACAGAGGTGCACTAAACGAACATACACGACTTATATATAGAAAATAATAGATTTTCTTGGTGATGCTAAATTACTGCAACGTGAAACGAGTTTAAAATGATGGCGGGATGTATATATATATATATATATATATATATATATAGTTTTCTTATTACCAAACCAATTTACGAAAAATACATATAAAATGGTTAGTCATTTAGTGAGATAAGCGTTTTCTCTTAACCTATCATTAAAGGTCGTGGCATATCATCATGCACGTTGCGTTTCTAGTCCGTAGCGTTTAGTTTCCGAAAAATATAATTTAAATGGTTTTAAATATGAACAATTCACACGGTCCGTATCATATCAGGCACCTAACGTAACAATATTTTACTGATGCCGACGGCTACGTACGGGTCGTAACCGGTTGGTACGTATAATGTGAATTAGGGCTCCGTCGTTTTGTCCTTGTTGTTTATTTAGGTATTTGTTTGATTTTGATACGGAATATTTAAAAAATAATTTTCAAGGCTATTTTGTGATTTATGTATGTGTTTTCATTGCTTTGTGACAATTAATCACGGAAGTGATAAACAATTAGGACTAATGCACGGAAGTGATACCTCTTTTTTTATAAATACTCTTTGGTTTGTTATGTCGGCGGGCGAACTTTCGACACCAAATTGTCTTTGTACCTGGGGTAATCGAAGGGTCAAATTTTATTATAGGAAATTTCGACACCGCGGCGTAAAGCAGGTAGGTAGGTAATTAGCGGCGATGGACATTTGCACCCAAGCAGGACAAGCGGGTTTTCCCAATATTTATTGTCACGGCGGGGGACGTGGCATTTGTGTAATTGTGACTAAATTATTTCAGTTGTAATTTATTTCTTGTTTGACGTTGACTTGTGCACGTATACGGATATTTAAAAAATGAGTTTGATAAAAAGTTCCCGTGGTCGAGATTTATTAGTGGTGAAGCATCATTTGTTCTCGAAACAGAAAGTGTTAAAAAGCGGCGAGATATTTTGGCGCTGCATCCAAAAAAACACTAAGTGTTCCGCAAAAGTGTTTACAATAGGCTGTGAGGACCTCACCATCACAAGAAGTGATTTGGTACATAATCATGAAGCCGATCCAAAAAAGCTTGAAGTAAAGATGGTAACCAATGCATGTAATAAAAAAGCCTAAGAAGACATATCGGAAAAGCCTGCCAAAATTACAAGAACTGCTGTTGCTGAGGGTGATGCCAATTTGCTGACGGTTCCTGACATAGCTAGCATAAGAAAGAACATTTACAACTATCGTCGTAAACTGTTAACAAGTCCGTTACCAAGAAGCATACCAGAAGTCCATAACGCGGTTAGTAATTATTCTCCTAAAACCTGCCGCAATGAAAGTTTTTTGTTTTTAAATCATCCTGAATTAAATGTAATTGTATTTTCATGCGAGGTAGATATTCGTTTGTTGTGTAAATTAAAAACTTTGTATATGGATGGTACATTTTCATACAGTACCAAATATATCATATCAAAAAATGGACATTATGTTCCTTTAGCATACTGTTTGTTAAAGGAGAAATTGTCAATGACATACAAAAATTTATTTTCTTTATTAAGGTCTAAGATTTTTGAAACATTTCAATTATCATTAGAGGCAACTGAAATATTTGTGGACTTTGAAAAAGCAATTCACTGTGCTGTATTGTATATGTGGTCCAATACAAAAAATAGTGGATGCCGTTTTCACTTACACCAAAACTGGTTTTAAAAAATTCAATATTTGGGTTTGGTATAAGAATATAAGGATACAAATTCAGAAATTGGAAAATGGTTAAGTCATACGTTTGGTTTAACTTATTTAAATCCAGCAGAAGTTGAAGAATGCTTTCTTTATGATTTAATGTCATATAAACCTATAAACGCAACACTTGATATATCTATTTGCAGATTATTTACTGGAAAATTACATTTTCGATAGCACTCTATTTCCACCACACATATGGTCTAATCAGAATCCGTTTATTGCGAGGACCACAAATGCCTGTGAATCCTTTCATTTGATATTTAATTCTTCTTTTTATTCAACACGTCCTTCAATTTTATTTTTATTGAAAAGTTAAAAGAATTTCAAGTAGACACTTATGTCAAAATAAATAGTTTACATATACCAGCAAAAATCAAAGATACTACTGTTAAGGCTAAATTGGCATTTTTTGGAGAAAATGATGGATAAACTACGATCCCAAGAAATACGTAGGTTAGATTTTATAAAAGCTGTATCTTATCATTCCTATAATAGCAAATAATAGCTTTTTTTGTTCTACTTCTTTGGTTTTTTGTAAATTCTCAAGTTCTTTTGTATATGGGCTACTGAAAAGTATTTCGGACATTTGAGATTTTGTTTTTCGTCGATTAGGCTTTTCTTTAATTTTGGGTAAATGTAAATTATTTACCTTTACATCACATACACATCGAGAGGCGGTGTAACGTGAAAAGAGATTAGATCATCTTCATTCTCAGGCTGCTTTAAAGGAGGTATTGCTTCAGATGGTATTGGAAAATAAAGTACATTATGTTATTTTTCTACATGGACTCCATTTAAAATATTATCTACTACCGCGCGTACTGGATTATATAAAGGTACGTCGGTAACATAGGAGGGGGCAAAATCCATATCATGAAAATGATCAGGGTTAAACGGATATATTTTCGCTGCCTTCTAAATATTTGCTACAGAACCATAAGCAGTACTAAATAATCCAGCAACTTGAAATTGTGTAAGTACCTTACTTAGATTACTTACCATCTACTTGTCACATTCCCTACTATAGGTTTTTTTTAAAGGACCAAAAAACCAATATCCAGTGGCTGTAGTTTATGGCTTGAATGAGGAGGTAGAGATAAAGCATCAATGTGATTCTCTCGGCAATATTTTATAGCTTGCAGGTCACGATGAGAGCTGTGATTGTCGAGAATTAAAAGAAATTTGTTTTCAGCGTTGGGTTTGGCAAACTTATTAAAATGGATTAACCACTTACAAAAAAGATCCATGTTGAAATATCCAGATTCAGAAATTAATTTTAGAGTTTCACATGGTCCATTTAAAAACAGCTCTTCCTTCATTCTTTTTCTGGGGAATATGAGTGCTGGAGGAATACAGTTATCTGTAGAGTTCATGCAATATACAGCCGTTACAAGTTGTCCACGATCTGCACTAGCTATCTTCCCTACAATCTTCTTTCCCTTGCTCGCTAACGTCTTGGGTAACTTATTAGGCACGGTTGATAAACCCAATTCATTCATGTTATATATTGAACTTGGAGAGTATTGCCTTAGTTCAAAAAGATTTTCAAGGTTATCGTAAAATCTTCATTTTACATACATCGGTAACTGCGTACTTTTATACATATATGCATTTTGTGATTTTAAAGCTGTATTAGGCATTATTACGAAAACAAACAGATTTACGGCTTATTCTTTTTAAAGCAATCACTATTTCATATAAACGCAGTCTAAAATTATTTTATACAATACAAATGGTTTGCTTACCTCTCAATTGACTAAATTGTGAACACATAAAATTATAAATCTGAACGGCAACTCTTTGCAGCGACCATATTAATAAAACTAGGACGATAATGTATATTTCTGTTGATGGCCGTGCAGTAGGACTGTATTTAGAATGCCTTCAAGTAAAAATTGCTTCAATAGATGGCGACATATTAAAAATAATAGGTGTGTACTCTTACACACATGCGTACTCTTATACACACTTCATGGATATACTTCAAAACCCTCTTTTTATGGCAAATTAAATACCTAGATTCACTAACAAGTATCCGAATGGAATTTGGTTTAACATTATTGATTGTGATATAAACCCGCTTACTTACTTGCAACTAACTTGTGAGATATCACGGATTGGAGACATCGGATTGCTATTCAAACCCAAGCATTTCTCCTGAATTTTCAATATCCCCTCGTTCATACATTCCGCAGTATATTCCTTGGCATATTCTATAAAATATTAAAGGTAACGATTATACTCATTATACGTGGATAATTAGATAATAACCTTAAATTTTTTTAATTATTTTATAATAGTTAAGTACATGACTAAAAGTTTACTTGTTTATTGGGTACCATAAATGATCCTGCGTTATACCTCGACTATTAAATATAAAAGTATATAGTTTAACTCACCAATATGCAAAAGAAGTGCAGTTAACATATAAAAATATTGGTTTGCTTAAAATATTTCAAAGTTCCAAAAAATTAAAATAATTCAGTTAAGTAGGATAATAACCAACAAACATTTCGAAGAAGGAAAGTCTTTAAATTTTTGGATTACCTGTATTGAACAAAACGTAAGATATGCATAAATTATTTTCTTTGTTATAATATACTTGAGTGACCCGCATAATTTTAAGTGAAATCCATAGACAATTGAAGCGGTTTTTCCAAATAAATGTTGTGCAGTAATTAGGACAATAGAATGGATTTTAGAAAGATATGTTTTTGTTAGTTCTTAGGAATTGGTAGGAAAAGATTATTTTGTAAAATAGTTTTAGGAAATTTTATAACTGTAGGTAAAAATTTGTGTGTTGAAGAAGAAATGTGAGATGAAGAAATGTGAGATGTATGAAGCGTTTTGATTGGATGAGATTGAAAAAGGTGGGATGATTGGTTTAAGAATAAGACTTTAGTTACTTTTTTAAATAGAAAAGATAGTCAGTTGGTTTCGAAGGGTAGAAGGCGAACGGCCGTTGTTCTCGGGTAGTTTCCCAGAGGTAGGAAGCAGTAGCAGTAAAAGTTTTCGTGTAGTTAGTGTATCTGACACAAGCTGATCCAGTAAAAGATTGTAAGTTATATTTTCTACTTATATTCCAAGAGTCACTGTTCAGGCCAACGAGAGATTCAGTTTATCGTAAAGAAAAGATATTCCAAGAGTCATTTTTCACTCAGGCCAACGAGAGATTCAGTTATTGAGAAAAGAAGAAGCTAGCATAATTTGAACGATTCGTGCATTTGAAGGAGATCATTAAGGACGATAAACTTGGAATAATTTGTTGTAAGATTGCTGATTACCTAGGGAGCGGCTGAGAGTAGATAATATAGTCTACAAGGAACAAGGATTTGGACCACTCATCATCAGAGAGAGATAGTTTTGTTTTCTGCAGTTTTTCTTTTATTGATAATACAATTTTTACACTTAATTTAGAAAGGATATAAATATTTTGATTAGGAGAGTTAAAATAATATTTGGGATTTTGAGATTTCAACTAATATTGTTTGTACCATTAATTTTGAACACGTACGTAGAACAAAATTTTGAGAATCATTATATGAGATTTTGTTTATTGAAAATTTTTGAGTGTGAATTTTATTTCATTATTTTATTTCAATATATAATGTTAGATCCTATATGTTTTTTTATTATTCCGGTATTTTTTGGACCTTACCTTTCACATGTAATAGCATAGATATTGAAGCACGAATAGAACCCTGAGATAAGAGAATTATAAAGTGTGATAAAATCATAGTCATATCATTAAAATAATTTTAATGAATGAATGAATTAATTAGCTAATTAATTGTTTGGCGCACTAAGACTTGAAATATCATAATATATATATATATATATATATATATATATATATATATATATATATATATATATATATCTATATATATATATATATATATATATATATATATATATATATATATCTATATATATATATATATATAGATATATATATATATAGATTAGAGACAAGGAGACTCTATATCACCAAAGCTCTTCACTGCAACTCTAGAAAATATATTCAGCAAAATGAACTGGCAAAACAAAGGCCTATGCATTGATGGAGAATACCTCAACCATCTAAGATTTGCAGACGACATCGTTCTAATTGCTAAAAATCCTGCAGAACTACAAGAACTTATAAGCGACCTAAATGCAGCTAGCAATGAAGTTGGCCTAAAAATGAACTTGACAAAAACAAAAACCATGTACAACGAGCTAGTGGATGTCCAAGATGTAATAATAAATAATACTGCACTGGAGACAGTAGACGAGTATATATACCTGGGACAATTAATACATAAATCTGGCTCATTACTCCCAGAAATCAACAGAAGAATGAAACTGGCTTGGGCAGCTTTTGGTAAAAATTCAGTTATATTCAAATCTAGGATGCCACTCCACCTGAAGAAAAAGGCATTCGATCAATGTATACTACCAGTCATGACATATGGCTGCGAAACTTGGACACTAAAGAAAGATATAATAGCTAAACTCAAAGTCACTCAAAGGTCAATGGAGCGATGCATGTTAGGTATAACCAAGAGAGATCGAAAAAGAATAGAATGGATCAGACAGAAAACGAAGGTCACTGATGTAATCCACCGAATAAAATCTTTAAAATGGCAGTGGGCGGGACATTTAGCAAGAAGAACTGACAATAGATGGTCCACTAGAATTACTCTGTGGTATCCAAGAGGCGTCAAGAGACCAAGAAGACGTCCAAATTTAAGATGGAACTATGACATAAGGAAACAAGCCGGTACAACATGGCACAGAAAAGCGAATATTAGACAGTCGTGGGCAGACATGAAGAACGACTATGTAAGGGAGGCTGCACCATAATTGGTAGAATACGCTGATAATGATGATGATGATGATGATATATATATATATATATATATATATATATATATATATATATATATATATATATATATTGTTATATGTAAAATCAAGAAAAATATTGGTTTGCTTAAAATATTTCAAAGTTCCAAAAAATTAAAATAATTCAGATAAGTAGGATAATAACCAACAAACATTTCGAAGAAGGAAAGTCTTTAAAATTTTTTATTACCTGTATTGAACAAAACGTAAGATATGCATAAATTATTTTCTTTGTTATAATATACTTGAGTGACCCGCATAATTGTGAAATCCATAGACAATTGAAGCGGTTTTCCCAAATAAATGTTGTGCAGTAATTAGGACAATAGAATAGATTTTAGAAAGATATGTTTTTGTTAGTTCTTAGGAATTGGTAGGAAAACATTATTTTGTAAAATAGTTTTAGGAAATTTTATAATTGTAGGTAAAAATTTGTGTGTTGAAGAAGAAATGTGAGATGTATGAAGCGTTTTGATTGGATGAGACTGAAAAAGGTGGGATGATTGGTTTAAGAATAAGACTTAAGTTACTTTTTTAAATATAAAAGATAGTCAGTTGGTTTCGAAGGGTAGAAGGCGAACGGCCGTTGTTCTCGGGTAGTTTCCCAGAGGTAGGAAGCAGTAGCAGTGAAAGTTTGTGAGTTTTCGTGTAGTTAGTGTATCTGACAGAAGCTGATCCAGTAAAAGATTGTAAGTTATATTTTCTACTTATATTCCAAGAGTCACTGTTCAGGCCAACGAGAGATTCAGTTTATCGTAAAGAAAAGATATTCCAAGAGTCATTTTTCACTCAGGCCAACGAGAGATTCAGTTATTGAGAAAAGAAGAAGCTAGCTAGCATAATTTGAACGATTCGTGCATTTGAAGGAGATCATTAAGGACGATAAACTTGCAATAATTTGTTGTAAGATTGCTGATTACCTAGGGAGCGGCTGAGAGTAGATAATATAGTCTACAAGGAACAAGGATTTAGACCACTCATCATCAGAGAGAGATAGTTTTGTTTTCTGCAGTTTTTCTTTGATTGATAACACAATTTTTACACTTAATTTAGAAAGGATATAAATATCTTGATTAGGAGAGTTAGAATAATATTTGGGATTTTGAGATTTCAACTAATATTGTTGGTACCAATAATTTTGAAGGTTCACGTACGTAGAACAAAATTTTGAGAATCATTATATGAGATTTTGTTTATTGAAAATTTTTGAGTGTGAATTTTATTTCATTATTTTATTTCAATATATAATGTTAGATCCTATATGTTTTTTTATTATTCCGGTATTTTTTGGACCTTACCTTTCACATGTAATAGCATAGATATTGAAGCACGAAAAGAACCCTGAGATAAGAGAATTATAAAGTGTGATAAAATCATAGTCATATCATTTAAATAATTTTAATTAATTAATTAATTAATTAGCTAATTAATTGTTTGGCGCACTAAGACTTGAAATATCATAATATATATATATATATATATATATATATATATATATATATTATATATATATATATATATATATATATATATAATTGATGGATTCGACCGTTATTTGATGGAAATTCATTTTATGTAACAATAAAACACTGAAAACTTTGTTTTCAAACATCCACAAAATTTATTTTAAATCTTATCACTACAGCTGTTTCGGCTAATTGCCTTTCTCAAGTGATCTATTTTTGGCTTGGGTTTACAAATTTATAGTCTTTAATGAAGTAGGTTGAGGAGGGGAGAACTGTTTGCCTCAAGTTGGTCATTCAGAATTAGATCTGTGTTTTTTAATTGGTTCATTTCCATAGATTCTAACAAAGATAGCTTAAGGCCTTTATTTTGAATGTGAAGAATTTTAAATTTGTCATTAAAAGAATAATTATGATCTAGAAGGTGAAGTGCGTATGTAGAATCCGTTTTTCTATTATTGAAAGCTCTTTTATGTTCTGCTATTCGTTTATTAAAGTTTTTACCAGTTTGACCGATGTAAGTTTTTGGGCTGTCTCCACATTTAAGTTTGTACACACCACTATGTAAGTGTTTTTTATTTTGCCTCTTGTTGTTTTTAATATATTTGCCTAGGTTGTTATTTGTTCGGAAGCTGGTGTTATTCCGTTCTTTTTTATGTGTTTGGCTATTTTTGTTGATATTTTGCCTGTATATGTAATCGAGCAGAAGGTACTTGGTTTTTTCTCTGCTGGTGGACATACTAATTTCAGGGCTTTCCTGTGTAGTTTTTGATTTAACATTTTATTAATTGTTGGTTCGTTGTATCCGTTGTTTACTGCTATTTGCTTGATGATATTTAATTCTGTCTCAAAGTTGTATTTTGACATGGGAATTTCTGTTAATCTATGTAATATACTATGATATGCTGCCAGTTTATGTTGTGTTCTATGATGACGAATTGTGTATAGTTGTGTCAGTACGGGTAGGTTTGTGAAATATGGAGATGTTATGTTTCTTTTTAAGTCTGATAATGTTTAAATCTAAAAAATTTATGAATTGATTTTGTTTTGTTTCTATTGTAAATTTAATATGACTATTAGGGGAGGATGGGGCATCATGGACCATGGGGGTAATGTAAACCACATCGGTTATTTTGTTTAAAATTGGCAACACTGCATCTAGAAACTACTACAAATATGACATATATTTGACATCTTATCTACTTTTAGTATGAGTTTGAACGCACGGGGAGTACGTTCAGACGTGTTATAATTAAAAACACGTGTTTCGTCGCTGCTGATCTAAGAAATTTACTACTTTTGACTAAAGATTTCTCGGTAAGTAGACATGATTATTTTAATTTTTTGATACTGTGGTGTTGCTTGTAAAATGTGCTTTTAATAATTAAGATTTGCTTTTGATACGTTGTGAACTGGTACGTTAATCCATATTTTGAATGTGTACTACGCATGGGGCAACGTGGACTAGGAGTCGTTCACATTGCTTCATTATATTTTCTTGACACTTTTTTAATTATATGCTTCTTTTGCAGTTAGAAATGGTACGAAATTATGTGAGGAAAACTGAGCAAAAATCCTGGTCTCTTGTTGCCTTGAAGAATGCTATCCGGACAGTTAAAGCTGCGGAGATGAGCTATTTAAAAGCTAGTAAAGTTTATGGTATCCCGAAAGCAACGTTAATTTGCAGATGCAAAGAAAAAGTAACAAGAATTTCTCCTGACGAAAAGGGTCTAGGTTTCTACAAAACGGTTTTTACCAAGGAACAGGAAGAAGAATTGTATAATTATATCTTAGATATGGAGAAGCGTTTATACGGAATTACTTTGCTTGATCTTCGTCACCTATCTTTCCAGTTAGCCGAAAAAAATAACATAGACCATCCATATAATAAAACAAACAAACTTGCAGGTTTTAATCGTTACAATGTAAAACAATTTTTTGATCTGTATAAAGCTACTTTGGATTCTAAACATGTCAATCCAACGCGTGTTTTTAACTGTGACGAAACAGGTCTAGGTACAGTCCCCAAATGTAATAGTAAAATCTTGGCGCATAAAGGACGGAAACAAGTTGGACGGCTTACTTCTGCTGATAGAAGTGGAATAACAACAGCCGTTATTTGCATGTCATTATTAGGAATCTTCATACCGCCGATGATAATCTTTGCAAGAAAGAGAATGAAAGTCCAAGCTAGTGCACCTCCAGGTTCAATATTCGCCTGTAGCGATAGTGGCTGGATAAATAGTGAACTCTTTTTAATATGGTTTCAACATTTTCTTCAACAAACGAAACCAAGTGAAGACGATCCGATCTTATTGATTTTGGATGGACACAGCAGCCATACAAAAAACATAGAAGTAATTAATTTGGCTAGGGAAAAACATGTACATATCATTTGTTTGCCTCCACATTCCACCCATCGAATGCAGCCAACCGATGTTGGTGTCATGGCTCCTTTAGCACGATATTATAATATGGCATTAGAAAAGTTTCTTAATAACAACCCAGGCAGAGTGGTAACAGCTTTCCAAATCTCTAAAATTTTTGGTGAGGCTTTCTTACAAGCTGCAACACCTTTGACTGCTGTTAACGCTTTTAAAAAATGTGGGATAGTACCTTATGATCCCAATATATTTACAGACCTCGATTTTGCACCATCTGCTACGACTGAAAGAGATTTGGAGAATAATAGTCTACCAGTGTCAAGTCAAGATGAAGCAATTCCTTCAACTTCAACTGCAGAGCCTCACTTAAGTCAAGATGAGGTAATTGCTTCAATCTTAGTTGCAAAGCTTCATACTGGTAACGATTTTCAATTGACAATTTCCCCTGCACACAATAGAGCAACAACTTTATTTGGAGCAAACAGCCCTAAAGACATTCGTCCTCTGTCAAAGAGAAGTAAATTAATGGAACCAAAAAGGAAATCTAAAAAAGGTAAAACGGCTGTACTGACATCTAGTCCGTATAAGCTAGAATTAGAACTTGAAATAAACACGAAGGAGGCAATAGAAACAATGAAAAAGGAAAAAGCTAAGAAAAAAATAAATGATGATAAGCACGAAGATAGTGAAAGAAGTAACAAAAAAATAAAAGTTTGTCCTTCCAAAGGTGGTAAGGGAAAGAAAAAAAAAAATTAATGTAACCATCAAGTACAAGATGATGGCAATGGTAAAGATGCTGAATGTTTTTATTGTAACGAGTGGTTCTCTTCATCAGCCAATGAAGAAGGATGGGTACGTTGCTCGGCCTGTCTGAAATGGGCTCGTGAAGCATGTGCGGGAATAGATCTAGAAGATGATGAAGAATTTCAGTGTGAATTTTGTATTTCTGAATAAATATAACATGTGTCTATTTTTACTAATGTTCTGTTACCGGTTTTCTAAGTATTTTTAATAAAAAAATTCTTTTTACTTGATTTTATTTACCAAACATAGCCATTAGATAATGAAATAGTGTGACTTTCCTCAGTAGTTCACATTGCCCCACCCTATGGGGCAATGTGAACTTTTGACATATAGTCAGTTGTCATTTTTTTTTTTGAAAATACGTTAAATAAATTATGTTTCAATTGCAACTAAATGACAGTTAAATGTTTAATGAACGTCCCTAATTAATTAAACAAAACAAAATCATTTCTGGTTTAACAGTATGTGCATATCTTCATTAGATGGTTCACAATGCCCTATCCTCCCTAAGTGAATTGACATACGATAAAAATTGGTCAAGTTGCCTGTTGTACGTACTAATATGTTTCACAGGAACTAATAGTTTACTGTAGTGATAAGAGTTAAAATAAATTTTGTGGAAATTTGAAAACAAAGTTTTCAGTGTTTTATTGTTACAGTTTTTTGTTTTTTTTTTAAGATGGTTCTACACATTTATATAGTGCTGGCCTGATGGCGTGTTTACTTCACACTATCAAGTACGTTGCTTGCATCACACAAATTAGTTTTATTTTCGGATTTTGATAAAACGGTTTATTTATTATATTTAGACAAATGATGCAAAAAAATTAAGATGCCAAAATATAACAACACGCCAACGTATTTGACCAAAATCACTAATACTTCAAAAAATTCTGCTTCACATTTAAATATAATGTAAAACATGTGTGTAACAAGAAGTAGGATTTTTAGAACTATAATAAAAATCAACTAGTTAATATCTCTTATTATTAAGAAAGATTAGCAATATTTTTTTAAAAATTAAGTATTTCGAAATATTATATTGACAATATTATGTATTGAACGCCAAGAAAGTTTCTATTTAAAAAAAAAAGTTACTTACTGTGTACTTTATCTTCGTTTTCACACGTGTAAGCTATTAAATCTTTATCCATATTCTGCCAAATATCTACCAAATATGATTCTGTAATATTTAAACATTGTTTTGAAGCAGAAATGAGTGGCTGGTAACAACCACTAATGGCCTTGCGTCCCAAACAAGAAGTATGGTAAATTGGAATTTTGGCTACATTTATTTTATTTATAGGAATTCCTTTAGAATGTTCATCTACACAATGGGGTAGATTATGTTGCAATTGCTAAAAAAAATTTAAAAATAGTACACTGCTAGTAAAGATATTGCAGTTTTCATATAAAAAAGCTTGCACGTCATTCAGGATTTACGTCGTCAGAACCCCACAGCGTTGCCAAAACATCAAAATAGTTAATAAGTGCGGAATTTTTAAAATGTCAACTATTTGTCAAACTATTATATTAACAGTAAAAACACGCAGTTTTAAGACTACTGCAACACATTAAAATGCATATATATATATATATATATATATATATATATATATATATATATATATATATATATATATATATATATATATTATGATCAAATTGTGTAAGAAATCAAAACATAAACAGAATTCCTACTCTAAAAAAGCGGCAACACTTTATACACTTTTGCCACATGCTCAACTGTCAATAAAATTCGAAGTATTTTCGTATCAGTTGCATACAGAGACTTAAAGAGTTATTTTATAAAATGTATTTTATTAATAATAACAAATGTTTATTATTATTTATTATTATTACACCATGTTGACGCCTATGAAAGATCGAGCAGTTCCGTATGGGTTTCGTATCATTAGTTGTCTTAGGTAAATTTAAACTCTAAGGTTGATGTTCTGGAAATTTTAAATTCACGTGAAGTCACTTTGTATAAATCGTGACGTGCAAGTGTTTTACTTTGAAAAATGGTATATATTCCAGTAGATGATGATAAAAATCCTAATATACAGTTTGACAGAAAATAAAATGTTGAAAATTATTTATAAGACCAGGTTGTCCCGTTAGTTTAAAATTATTTAAAAAACTGTTTGTCCTTGTATTAGTGTAGCCTTATGTACAATTTATGTTTAATTTTATGCTTATTACATTCTGCGTTAAAACGTAAAACGTTAATCACAAAAAACTTTTATCTTCTTCTTTTGAATAAAACTTTTATTCAAAAACCAACTTGTTTACAATACTAAAATCAATGATAGTAATTATATACTTCAAAATCTGAATTATAACTATTCTATAAACTATCAACTCTATATTTATATCATGACTTCATATTTAAATTTTAAGTCATAATAGTATTTTAAAAATAGGAAGAGTTTACCATTGGACAATTCAGCACATTGGACCATTCAAATAGAGACCTTAAACCTAATTTAAAACAGTCGTATATTCGTGGAATGGAGTATACCATATTTGTCTATTAACGCGGGGATTTCTCATAGTTCAAACGATTTCGGCATATACTGAGGATGGCGAAATTTATGCCCCGAAGAGACAATTTCTGATTTGTCTAGCACAACGGAACAAATTAAATCCTTGTTATATGTCGCGCGGGTTTTTAATAATATTTATTTGATTTATTGGAGAATGCTGAGGGTAGGCGCAAAATTTCGGACCAATGCTTTTTAAACGCAAAATGCAAATATTTTTTTCGAACCTTGAGAAAACTAATACGTATTTTTAAAAAGTTTAAACGCAAAATGAAAGTTTTGATGAAAAAATGTGAAAAAAATGTTTATTTTAGTAAGTTACAGGGGTGAAAGAGAAGAGAAAATTAAATGGGATTTTTAATTTTAATATCTCATTCAAAAAAAAACTTTTTTGAATATTTAATAATTTTTTCAGGATTCGAAAAAAATATTTGCATTTAAAAAGCCTTGGCTCGAAATTTTGCGCCTAAGCTCTTAATGCTATGACGACTTGTAGAAATCTTATTTAATTTTTTTTACTCGTCTCGGACAGGTGATTTAAGAGCATTCAATAGATCTATTTCCTTTTTTAAATAGTTGATCATGGATTCAGTTGATTTCGACCCCGTCGTGTTTCTAAAAGAGAATTAATTTTTTTTTGGGCGCTTAACTTAGAAAATAAAATTAAATTGAAAAAATAGTCAAAAACGACCTAAATTAAGTTTATCACAAAAAGATAGAAAAACAACAAGACATTTCAATCATAAATGGTACCAGAAGTTTATATGGCTTTGCGGCAGCGAAACTGAAAATAAATTATATTGTTTTCCTTGTCTGTTATTTGGACACGATTCATCTTGGACTGGAAGTGAAATAGATATTATAAAAAATTTTGTGGACAAAGCTAGCAGATACGCTACCTTAAAAAATCATATTTCGTCGCATGAAATGTTCCATTTGTTGGGAAAAGTTCGAATAGATTATGCAATTGACCACGGAAAAAAAAATTGTTGCCCAACGTCACAACGAGCGTGTTGTTAAAAATCGCAAAATTTTCGGTCGTTTAGTAGATGTAGTTCGTTTTCTGGCTTGTCTAGAATTAGCTTTACAAGGACATGATGAAACTGGTACATCAAAAAATAAAGGTTAGTAGAAGTTAGTAGTACTAAATTTTAATCACATGGCTATTGTAAAAACATATTTTATTATAAAATACTCTCAACTCTAGAATTTTCATGAACTATATTTGATATATTTGTAAGAAATTATTTGGAACTGTTAGATCTACTTGCTCTGGAAGAATCTAATATTCGTGATCACTTAGAAGCCAGTAACATTTTTAAAGGCACATCGAGCGAAATTCAAAATCAGTTGATAGAATCGGTGGAATGTATTATCAGACAGAAAAGTTTTAAAGATTTGCAAGAAGCGGACTTTATATCTGTTCAGGCTGATGAAACAACTGATGTATCCTGCAAATCCCAGTTTAGTGTAATATTAAGGTATGTGTACAAAAAAGACATATGTGAAAAAGTTATGGGATTTTATGATGTGTCTAGTGATAAAACAGCAAATAGTCTTGCAGAAAAATTTATTCACGTTTTACATTCCAACGAGATAAAAAATGATAAAACCTCTCTTTGATTTTACAATCAAAAATTTCTGTCAATGTAGGCTTATGTGTCGAGGAAATATATAAAATGACACAAAATATCAAAAATCTGAGGAATGACAATACAATTGAAATATGCGTAAATAAGGGACCAATATCAAGCAAACCAAATCAAGCAACTCTTGATGTTAACACAGTAAAAATGTTTAAAACAATAGGTTTTGAAATACTGGATACAATCTGTACGCAATTACAACAACGATTCGAAGACACCCATTTACTCTCTTTAGTCAACTTACTAAACAAAAACAGTTTTGTAAATTATAATAAACAATTTCCAAAAAACCTTTTAGTTGTTCTAGATAAAGTATATCCTGAAACTTTTGATATGAGAAAATTAGAAAACGAGTTGATTGTAATTTATTCAGATGAACAAAAACATTTAGAACGTTACCATCTTTTTTCATATATTTTTGACAACAGTTAACAGAAGTATATTCTGATTGTTATAAGTTACTAAAATTATTTTTGACCATTCCTGTAACAACGGCCTCGTCTGAAAGATCTATGAGCACTTTAAATAGAATTAAAGCATATTTGCGGAATTCAATGACTACTGTAAGACTTTCCTCATTATCCACTTTAAGCACTGAAAAGGATATGGTGCACTCAATTACTCAAGAAATGAATGTACAAATTATTGACTATTTTGCTAATAACAAAAATAACAAAAATAGAAAAATTGACTTAATATATAACAAAATTTAATATTTATTGTTTAGCGAATAAACATTATAGTTTATTTTTTGTTTTAAAAAATGTCTGCACGTTTTTGTTGTGTTTTTGTTTTGTTTATGAAAATAAAATATTTAAAAAAAATATTCTGTTTTATTTTCCTCATTTCTAAAATAAGGATTGCTCCTTTATTATAATTGTCTACCCAAAATTTTTCATCAAGCTTCGCCACTGTATATATATATATATATATATATATATATATATATATATATATATATATATATATGTATATATATATTGTTATGCTATTTAAATTGTATTCTATTGCTTATTTAGAAAAGATCCTGTCTATATTTATTAAATGATCTAATCTCCAATTAATCACAATAAATTAGCATTAATTAATTACAATCTCAGGATATTTAACTTGTACTATTTACCTTTGATCGTGGATTCAAAATATTTTCCAATTGGCTTCCTAATTGGGATAGGTAATATGACCTGAATAAAATACACAGAATTTCAACTGAAGTATATGTGAGATGTCCTTTATTTTATTGAAATTTTATATAACAATCAATCCGGTAATATTTGCAATACAATACTTTAAATATATGAGAAGTTGTTTTCTATCATGGACCCAAATGTTATTTTACATTGATTTTTAATATGTGTTATAACTAAGCTCTCTTTATAATTTTTTCTTTTTTAAATGATCGCAAATTAACTGTCTCTATAATTTATTCAATTTATTTAATTTATAAATGAAAACCACACTCCTGCTCTAATGAAAATTGACTGACCTTTCGTTATCTGCCGTTGCAATTCTATGGCCACGCCATAAAAAAAAAACCTTTCTCTGCTTCTGCTCCTATTTTGGTCCAGAAGACGTGCACCTTTCTCCTCTCTGTCCTTGTATCTGCAACCCAACAACTCGTGTAATTCTATGCAGCCTCCTTTTGAACCAATCTCCGCGCCTGTTTATAACTTCAAATGTTTCCGGCTTCGTCTGCTATTAATATTCTTATAACCTTTTGGTTTTTCTATCTCTCTGTACCCCGTTCCTCACACTCATCAGCTTTTACACCGCAAATAAACACACCCGGTAAATTACGTCTTCGGGACTTCAAACAAACACAAACCACAAAGCTCCTTCCTTCTTGGGCGACGAAAACTGACTAACTCCTTTCCTCTCTCCTATCTCATAGCCAAAACCACTCCCTCCTTCTATTCAAAAATTGACCAATAAAAATCTTTTACCTCTGTCACGTATCGTTACCAACCAACTCTCTCTATAAAACGTCATTCGGGTAATTCCAGAAAACAACATTCTTTAATTATTCTAGCTAAATCTATCTGCTTTACAAATATGTCTTACTAATAGCTACAAACGATACCTGTTTCTCAATTCAATGTTTTTTGTTAATAAACTTTTACTGATATAATCTTTCGGGGAAAAACCACCGCACATCCCGGTCTATTG